TCTTGGTGGTAGGACTCCGGGTTCTCTGGTGGTGTCTCTGTTCCAAAAGTCATGCAGACAATTTCTTGTTCGTCTTGCAAAGAGCTGTTTTCTGTCAAAGGATCTTCTCTGTCTTCAAGCTTGGTCTCTTGAATCAGGTTCTCTTCGTGGCAGGACTCTGAGTTCTCTGGTGGTGTCTCTGTTCCAAAAGTCATGCAGACAATTTCTTGTTCATCTTGCAAAGAGCTATTTTCTGTTGAAGGATCTTCTGCATCCTCAAGTTTCGTTTCTTGAATCAGGTTCTCTTGGTGGTTGGACTCCACAGTCTCAGAAGGTGTAGTCTCCGTTTCTAAAGCCATACAGACAGTTTCATTTCTGTCTTGAACACTTTCCTCTGTTGAAGGATCTTCCATGTCCTGTTTGGTCTCTTCTGTCAGGTTTTCATCGTCTTTGGACTCTACGTGCTCAGGTAGTGTTTCTGTGTCACAAGTCGTGTCGCCATTTTCTTTCTCATCTTGCAAAGAACTGTTCTCTGTTAAAGGATCATCCGTGTCCTCATATTTAGTCTCTTCTGTCATGTTCTCTTGGTCTTTGGACTCCTCACTCTCAGTTGTTGTCTCTGTTTCAATAGTCATGCAAACATAGTCCTCTCCTTCTTGCAAAGAGCTATTCTCTGTTGAAGGTTCATCAGCATCTTGTTTTGTCACATCTTTTTGGTTTTTGGATTCCACATTCTCAGCAGGTAATGTCTCTGGTTCAAAAATCACGCAATCGTTTTCATCTTGCAAAGAGTTCGTCTTTGCTGAAGGATCATTGTTATCAACCAGTTTTGTCGCGGTTTCTTGGTCCTTGTTCTCAGCTGCTGGTTTCTTGGTTTCATCTTCAGAGTCTGAGTCAATGGAAATGGTCTCTGTGCACGTGTTGAGTTTTGAGGTGTGGTTTGGTACCGACTTGCTTCCTGCGGATCTCACAGTCGAGGTACCAACTAACTTCCCATTCTCAAAGATCAAGAGATGTTTTACCTCATTTACAGCTTTCATGTCAAAGCCTAGCCTCACTGAAACCTTCATCATCTTACAACTTCTGAAACAGATGTTTCGCTTTGATGCAAAGTGGCTAGCAACCTCAGACCTCCACATATTCAAATTTTCTGACAACTTTTGCTCTTCTTCGGGAGTTGGGTATGGTCGCAGGTTGAAGTAAGTAGTCAGAAAATCTTTCTTAGCCAAATAGGTCTTGTTTGCATAGCCTTTGGCATCCAGAGCAAGGCTATTATTTTCATCAGATATTTCACACCCTTTGTATATTTTTATCTTCTTGGAAGTGGGTCCGCCCTGTATTGGCATCCGCCTCTTGGGGACACCAGTCTTGGGTGAGTTGAGTGTCATGGCAGACTTGAAGCCTTGGCCGACATGGGCCCTACCAACAGCTCTGCACTGCACAAGATGCAGTGTAATTGTGGATGCTACCATATTACTAGTATACACACCTAAACAATGGATGCACTTGTATGTCATCCTTTTTTCAACAGGATGCATGGTTTGGAGCACTTGATGTCGCTCCCTCAGATGCAGGGCTAAAGCATCCGTGATGGGAGCTTGGATGACAGTGAAGCAAAGTGGGCATACGGTTTTTCTCACATCACTGCTATGGAATACAGAAGAGAAACCGTGTGGTTCACTGCTCATTTTAACAATGGGTGGCGCCTTGACAGTAGGAACACTTTTGAGGGCAGGTGCAGATTGATCCAGACCATTGACCGAATCCTTCATGTTAAATGTGAGAACAGCAAGCTGAATGTTTCTGGATATACCTTGTTTTATGTTTATATCAAAGGTTAAAGGTGATGAATCAGCTGCCCCTACAAACTCACTTGGGTGGCACAAGGCTGCGTGCCCCATGAGTTTCTCAACACTGTGGAAAATGGAGTGGCACTGTGGACAGGTCAAGCCGTGAATTAGCATGTGGTTGAGCAGTGTGTTGCTGGGCAGGCAGCGGTTGCAAACTAAACACTTGCTGGTGAAGTTGTGGATTTTCATAATGTACCTGGCTAATGCCCAAAGTTTTGTTGACTTGTGAGCGCTCTCAAAATGAGCGCTGTAGAGGTTTTCAGGAAAAAGTTCATTGCAAACAGTGCATATCTTCCATTTCTGTGTTTGGGATGTGTTCAAACCAGTTGCATTATTTGCAGCAACATCACTGCAGACAGGAGGCTTGGTAGACACCTGACTGGTTTGGATGATGGACTGGTTTTTGACAGGAGGCTTTAAATAGCCAATTACAGGTTGTGCAACTGGATCAGATCTAACAGTCTTGCCTCTGCTAACAAACTGAGTTCTCTGATTCATTGCAGGGAAAGGCTGAGGCACTGGAACCAAAATATTAGCATGCGCAATCATGCTTGTTACTTGTGCACCAATGCGCTCGTGGTACTCCAGAACGTGCTGCACTAAAATCTCGTAGCTTCGAGTGGAAAACTGACATTGTTTACAGAAGATGTTGTTTCCATTGACAGAAGAACCGTTTCTGACAGAAGATTTGGAAACCATACCAAAATATGGTGATACAACATGCCGAAAATGTTCCCTGTAAATGTGTCTTTTAACAACGTTGTAGAGAGTGTCTCGGAATGTGCACTTTTTGCAAAAGAACATGGCTTTCTCCCCCTTTTGTGCAGCAGCATTTGTGAGATTAGTTTTTGCTCCCAGCACAGTTGCTCGTGAGTTCACGTTATTCTGCTGTTTTGAATTGGGTATGTGGAATATTTTGACATGCGTCTCAAGGGTTCTCTTGCTTGCGATGAATGAGCAGTAAGGACAGTTGAGAAGAATTTGACTGTCCAAAAGTTTTCGGTGTACATTGCGAAAGTGATTCCTGTAGCCCGAGTAGTATTTGGAAGAAAATGAGCACTCTGCACAGCAAAATGGCTTTGATCTGTATTCCTAAAAACAAGGGGGGAAAAAACAGCACATTTGAGAAAACAATATTAGAATAATGTTCAATCTAAATTTCTAAATTGAAATAAGATTTACCTGTGTTTTTGAAAATGATGGGCTCCACATGCAGATGTCAACACTTTGAGTGTCCTTCACAAACTCTTCATCAGGGCAAAACTCTTTGAACTCCTGTGAAATAGTAAGCAAAATGACTTCCAATAAATAATAAATAAATACACTGTAATTGGTACTCAAAATGGTTATCAGTTTATAGTGCCAGTGAAGATTTTAATCACTTATCTTTTAAACATTTTAGTATTTTTAGTTTTAACAACTTTAAGGATGACAGTGATATAAATAAACACCAAAATGTTTATAATAATGTACTAGAACAAGACAGCTTTTGAATTTGTATAGCAAATTTGAACAACGTATAAAATGCTTAATATGTTGTGATTCAAGGAGTTGATATTGTCTCTGAACAGCGTAACCCACTCTTTAAAAAGAACACACTACTAATTTGTGAGGAAGATGGGGGAAATAGGCTGGTTTAATATTTCAATGTTGTGTTGATGTTCTGTCATGGCGTTTATTTGATCTAAACCAACAACATGTATTAAAATACTGGACTCCATACAGGGACTCAGAAGTTGTAGTTTAGCTGTACAAATGTTTTGATGAGTGTGCACAACACTCACCTACATAATACAAGTAGGTTGGACAGTCTGCGTATTGCGCAACCTCAGTTTTTTTTGTGCGTGTTTTTTTTAAAGAAATCAGTTAACAAATCAGTTTTCATAAATTTACTGTGTGGACAGCATTCTGTGACTTCAGTGCCAGAATCGGCTGAGTGTGACTCAGGTTTTCATTAAAATGAGTTTTAAATGAAGTGATAAGTTTCACTGTTGAGTTTGTTAGTCTGTTCTCCATTTTGTTTGTGCAACTTTGACATACATTAGAGCCGTTCTTCAAATCTACCAGACAGTTCATATTTTTCAACCTATTAAAGGCACACTGCTGTAAATGCAGAAAATTTTTTTTGCACATCAACTGGGTTTCAAAAATTTAAATATGGCATTGTAAAACATACAGCTTACACACGTACATACACAGTAGTCCCTCGCAACTTTGCGGTTCATTTATCGCGGACTTGCTCTATCGCAGCTTTCAAAATAAGACTGGACATGACACACAACTGGCTGACTGACGGATGAGCTGCATGATCGGCATGACATTTTAATTTAAAATAAATTATTTTAAATTATTTAGCACCTGCTGCACCTTTGTGCAGCCCACAGCTGAAGAAAAAGCTTCCTCCTGCACCTCTGTGCACCCACACATAAGCTTCTTGCTGCAGCTGATCAGTTGTTCTCCGTACAGAGCGGATAAGTGGGCGTAGCCAAGGACGCCTGCAGATGTATTGTATATATTAGGGATGGGGCCGATCCGATCTGGCATTGGCCTCCGATGCCAGCATAATTTACGTATAGGATATTTCCGATTCAACCTGCAGATTTCTGATCCATGATGCTTGTCTGTGTCTGCTGAAACATCACCACATGGGATTCCCTGCCAGCTGCAGGGAATAAAATAAAAAAAAAGTATGAACTGAAAAATAAAAGAAAAGTATATATATATATATATATATATATATATATATATATATATATATATAAAGAAACAAAATCAGATACATTATAAATCAATGTAAAATACTAAAAACAGGGACATGTCTGTGTTGGTTTATGCCATAAACTTAGCAGATGTTTAAAGCCATTTAATCACTTTAATATACAAGCAGGATTTAATTCTAAATTTAAAACTTTCCCAACATTAATAAAACTTAACTCAAGCTGCCTTTTTGGACATACATGCATATATTTGTACAAACTGTACTTGAGAGGAGCTTATTAAAGCCTCATAAAATCAATTATGATTATGATATTGGAATAGTATCGCATCGGCCGATATCCAGATGTAGGCATTGGGATCGGAAGTAAAAAAAAAAAAAAGTGGATCGGTGCATCCCTAATATATATAAACATATATAAATATATACAAGTACAGGTCCTTCTCAAAAAATTAGCATATTGTGATAAAGGTCATTATTTTCCATAATGTAATGATAAAAATGAAACTTTCATATATTTCAGATTCATTGCACACCAACTGAAATATTTCAGGTCTTTAATTGTTTTAATACTGATGATTATGGCATACAGCTCATGAAAACCCAAAATGCCTGTCCCAAAAAATTAGCATATCATGAAAAGGTTTTCTAAACAAGCTATTAACCTAACCATCTGAATCAACGACGTAATTCTAAACACCTGCAAAAGATTCCTGAGGCTTTTAAAAACTCCCAGCCTTGTTCATTACTCAAAACCGCAATCATGGGTAAGACTGC